CACATTTGATAATTTTTTATGTCCAAAACTTTCAGATTCTAAAATAAGAGAATTTCCTTTTCTCTTAGCACTCTCAAATTTGAAAACTAAAGTGTTTCTAAATTTTAAAAACTAGTCCTTTAGAATAAAAATAAAACGTTATCTATGAAGCAAAAGCTGAGGTAGATGTTCTAATACTGTTTTTCAAGTAATTTGGTCTAAAGAGATAAAATCAATACTTCAGGAAATAAAAATCTAAAGTCACAGACAAGAATATTTCATTCAATGACAATGGTTTACGCACATCAGAGGATTTAGCATCATAATATTTTTCTATAATACATCAATGTTACCTATCACAGAATATGGGAATCAAGGAAAAACATGTTTTTTCATATAAACTTTTGATGAGATAAATGTGCTGGAGTAAAATTTTCAGAAATCAAAAACGAAAAGCAGGAAATAAGCAGTTTCAAAAGGCATAATGCAAAAAATTATTAAACAGAGTCTCTTGGCCATAATGGAAGTCTCTGCTTTCATTTTCTTTCCTCTACACTGATGTGTCTCCCTGTTTTCTCCCAATCCTCCACCGCAGTTTCCAATTCCAATAAGAGGATTTGAAGAGCCTTTTAAAATGCATGCAATAAAATAAGAGAAATGAAAAAGAAAACAGGCAAATTGGAAGCCAAAAGAGAATGAAATGATGAGATTAGCCAGAGACTCAGTACAATAGAAATTTATTAGAGTCTAGTGCCTTTAAAATTCTATGCAATTATTAAAAGGAGCCACACATTTTACTCTGCTTTTTTCTAGCACCAAATGCAAAAATAAAAACATGATCAGTTATTTGTTTCACATTTTCTATTTATAAACTACATGCATTGCCTGAAGAAAGCAGATTTTTGTCCCTGTTCCATCTGAAGGCTATTTTTTCCTTGAATTGTCATTGATGGATCATGGAATAAAAAGAAAGTAAGAATACAGAGAACAACAGCAAAAAAAAGTAGGTGTAGATGAAGAGAGAGCACCACTCAATCAAAAAGGCCCATGGTTGTTACTCTCTCGTGATACAGGGGCAGAAAGAGGCAGTGTGTCTTTGTTTAATTTCCTGTAAACCCAGCTTGGTCTTCTCTTCTGAGGCGAATTAGCAAACAATAGTCATTTTTCTGCCTTCAGGGCTCAGAGATCTGAGAATACTCCAGTCTCATTTTGCTAATATAAACTCATTGGAAATTTGGTCACTGACCACATAAGACCACCTGAAATAAATGTAAATGAAATGTTTTAGAATATTTTATAGTAAAGTGAGAAATCTCCCATTTTCTCCACTAAGCTAGTGGAGAATTTAACAGAAAATAATAAACTAATAGATGGTCTCTTTCTGTGTTAATTCCTGATGAGAGTGTATCATGGGTTTTGGTTGTTTTCAACCTTTCTCTCTCTCTCTCTCTCTCTCTCTCACACACACACACACACACACACACATACACATATTTGCCTGGGACAACAGAATGGTCTAGGTAATAGAAGAGAGATTCAGGTGGTTACTCATATGTCTACTTTCTTCTTCTATATGATAACTTGAAATGTAGGACAAGTGACTTTATTTCATTGGATTTATGCAATTAATCATGAGTATCTAAAGATGACACTCTGAGGTTTTTTTTCTCCATTAAAAGTGTGAATTTTTCTATGTGAGGGTTCAGTTCAGTTCAGTTGCTCGGTTATGTCTGACTCTTTGCGACCCCATGAACCGCAGCACGCCGGGCCTCCCTGTCCATCACCAACTCCCAGAGTCCACCCAAACCCATGTCCATCGAGTCGATGATGTAAGTGGATATAAAAGTCATGACAGATGTGAAAAAGTATCCAAGCACAATGATGAACATAGAAAAGGGGCTCATTGAATCCTCGCAGAGTTAAATAGCTTTCTTCTTCACAGATAAACAGTAAAAGAAAAACTCCATTTGTCAAAAACATCAAAGGGCAGAAAATCAGCCCCCCAAAAAGTAAAAACATCCTGTGCATCCCAGTTGGTTCTAGTGTGAACTTCTACAATAGGTAGAGAGCCATGTGAAGCACATGATGGTATATGAAACTGACAAGACGGATTCTGGAATGTGGGTGGGGTAGGTGTATGCTACGTAGTGTCTGATTCTTTGCAACCCCTTATGACCCCATGGACTGTAGCCCACCAGGCTCTTCTGTCCATGAGATTATACAGGCAAGTATACTGGAATGCATTGCCATTTCCTCCTTCAGGGGATTTTCCAAACCCAGAGATCGAACCTGCATCTCTTCTGTCTCCTGCACTAGCAGATGGATTCTTGACCACTGAGCCACCAGAGAAGTTTATCCTCTTTTCACGCATCCTTGGTCTTTTTTGTTTCTGGACAAAGACAGGATCATCACCACTCAAGAATTAATTCAAAAACACAACAGAATAACAAAAGGTTTACAAAGCCTATCTCATTGCAAAAGTAGTTAATTCAGGGTGGCTTCATTTAGCACATGTGGGTCAAAATTCAATGAGGTTTTGGTAACGGGGGAAATAGTTTGAAGAATGGGTTTGAGAATAAATAGGAATTGTAGCCACAAACAAAGAAGGGCATTTACAAACAAAAGATATGTATGGAGCACAGGAGAATATGTGAGCTGCCCATGAAAAGGGCTTCCTGATGCCCTTTCCCTAATACATCACCTGAAAGCTCCATAAAAATCACTCTACTGGATCAAGCATTGAAGGTTCTGAGAGTATATTTTTTAAATAGTTGTATGGCAATTCCTTTGGATTCATATTGCAAATAAGCTACTCGATCACTTAGAACAAAATTTCAAAAATACATACTAGGAAAATTTCCGTAGGATAACTAGGAAGGAAAAAATAGCTTGGCGCACTACCTAGAGGAACAGACCCGATTCAGTGACTATAGCAGGAACGATCAATGTCAGGAAGGCCCTATAATCCAGGGGAGACACTCTGGGAATATGTCACCTATTTCTCCCAGTTTGTTTTGTCCACGTTGCCACCAACTTCATCTGACTCAGTCAGAAGCAAAAGGCCCAAAGGATGGGTGAAGGATTGTGTGTTGACATCCAGGAGCTCGACTCAGACCCACCCAGGTAAACAGAGCAGCAAATGTGGCCCTCCCTTCGGCTCCCTTTGGCATGCTTGCTAACTCTGGTGTGTACACTCTTATAGCTTGCTGTGTGAGTCTAATCATTCATGTCAATTTCCAGGGGCAGTGTTCATACCACCACATAGAACAGAACAAAATGAAAAGCTCATGTTTGCTGGACAGCATGACCCCTTTCCTGATCAGAATATCGCTTTAGATTGAAGCCTCTGAAGCTATACTGGAAGCAATTGGAATTCTCAGACATTTAGTCCTGTATTATTCTTTCACATATTTTGGAAATGGCTGAACCCCTTTTTATATGTTGCTGTGATTCAACGTGTGAGTAACTGAGATAAGAATACTGCCTATCTTTAGAGGAAGGATCTTTTGAATAAATGGAGAAAGTTAAACATCGTTGTTCCTATAAGATGACAAGTGAGATAACTTTTATAGATAAATATTCACTTTTCCTTTTATGGTGTGACACCCTAACCTAATTTTGTCTCACAAAACATCTCATTCTAAAGGAGGAAAGGCTTTTTTAACTGAAATAATCACACATTAGTAAGCACGTAGGGCTAAGATGAGCCTGAAGAAAAGGTTAGAAGTATGATGAATCATAAACTGACAGTAAAGAAACTGATTCTTTAACATAAAACATTCTACTAAAGATAAGCTGCGGGATGTACGTCTACTGACTGAGACAGTGACAGATGCAGTTGAGTGTGCTATGGTATAGCTAGCAACGTTTGGGGAGGTTGGTTTATTTTTGTTTTCTTTCTGCTTTGAGGGGGAAATTTCTGCTAATAAACAACAACAAAAAGTTTAAAATTTCTTGAGCATCAAGGTCAATTACTCAAATGTCTTAAAAGTCATATCTTTTATTTCATTTTCATTTTTTTGCTTCAGAAGATTTGGGTTGGGAAGATCCCCTGGAGAAGGAAATGGCAACTCCCTCCATTAATCTTGCCTGGAGAATCCCATAGACAGAGAAGCCTGGCGGGCTACAGTCCATGGGGGTCACAAAGAGTCAGACATGACTAAAGCGAATTAGCACACAATCACACTATAATCAAATTGGTTTACCTCCTCAAATTCAATGACTTTCTCTACCTTTTCCCTTTTACATCCTTTGACACTTCTCAAGCAAATCAAAAGGCCCCAAATCTGAAAATGGGTAGTGTTTCTGGCCGTAATGACACTTCTGCAGTTATTTTGTTGTGGTTCAGTCGTTAAGTCATATCCGACTCCATGGATTGTAGCCCACCAGGCTCCTCTGTCCATGGAATTCTGCAAGCAAGAACACTGGATTTGTGGTCAGTTCCTTCTCCAGGGGATCTCCCCGACCCAGAGATCAAACCCATGTCTCCTGCATTGGCAGGCAGATTCTTTACCACTGAGCCACATGGCAAGCCCACATATATATACACTCCTGCACAATTATACTGCTCCATAGTTTTAGCTGTATATCTGAAGTTTTCTTACTTATTCAGATTTAAATGTATTATTATCCTCTGTGTGGATACTTGACTGAGTGCTCCCTGAGTCTATTAAACTTACCACAGTGCCTGGCACATTTTTTTAAAAAAGACCAATAAATCAGTATGGCAGCTATTCTTATAACCGTTTTACAGATAGCAAAACAGATAAGTACAGAAATGGTATACTTAGCCCATAGGCACATGATTATAAATGGCCAACCTAGTACTCTGAAAGAGTTCCTTTGTATCTAATCTCAGATTCTTTCCACTAATCCTTGCAATTGTTTTTGCTTTGGTTTGGGGAGGGTTGTTTGGTTTTTGTCTTCTAGTTTTCAATTTTTATTTTACTGAAAACTTCATTGCATTTCACACTGATGGGGTTTTTTTCTGACTCTGCCACTGCTTTTCCCTCATCTGCTAGGTACACCAAAATGAAGACTGCCACCAACATCTATATTTTCAACCTTGCTCTGGCAGATGCCCTGGCAACCAGTACCCTGCCTTTCCAGAGTGTCAATTACCTGATGGGAACATGGCCGTTTGGAACCATCCTGTGCAAGATTGTCATCTCCATAGACTACTACAACATGTTCACCAGCATATTCACCCTCTGCACCATGAGCGTGGATCGCTACATCGCAGTCTGCCATCCTGTCAAGGCCCTGGATTTCCGCACCCCCCGTAATGCCAAGATCATCAACATCTGCAACTGGATCCTCTCTTCAGCCATTGGTCTGCCTGTCATGTTCATGGCTACAACAAAGTACCGGCAAGGTGAGTGATGCTGAGGGCCTGGGGGCTGGAGAGTGTACAGATAGATATGTTGGGGACGTCACGAGCCAAGTAGAATTTACAGAGTGGTCCAGTGTGCTGCAAACTGTGGTTTTCATGATTCTTTCTCATAAAATACTTTCCAATATTTTGAAGTAGGAATTTTCCCCTAAAATTTTAAGTCCAGTGAACATTTTAGAGAGAATATAAACCAAAATCTGTTCATTCCTGATTCCTCTTCACTCACTTCATCCAAACGATGGCAGCATAAGAACACAGATCTTTAAAGAGGAATTAGAGCTTAGACCCGACATTAAGTGGAGGCTCGTTTGAAAATGTCAGGTGACTGCCCACATGACAAGTGTATGTTTTTAGAGCTCGTTTCAGAATGATAAGCTACCCATCAAAAAGTGGAGTTAAGGGAACTTCCTGGTGGTCCATTGCTTAGGACTTGGCACTTTCACTGTGGTACCCTGGTTAGGGAAACTAAGATCCCACAAGGAAACTCCTAAAGAGTCTGGCAGTGATTATATTTTTATGTCAACTTAGACTCCATAGAGAATCGAGCTCACAGCAAGAGATACATAGCATTATCAAAGTGAACAACCAAATGACATATTTGGAAAAATCAACAGAGATCTGAATTTTTTCCCATGAATTCTTTAAATCTTCCTTCCCAGATTTGTGTATCAATAGCCACAAGTTAGCTCAGGTCAAGGCTATAAATTTGAAAGCAAAATGGCAATATTAACACCTGATGATAGCATTAAATGTTGCTGCTAATTCTTCCTTATAATTCTTTTTCTCTAGGTTCCATAGATTGTACACTAACATTCTCTCACCCAGCGTGGTACTGGGAAAACCTGCTGAAAATCTGTGTTTTCATCTTTGCCTTCATCATGCCTATCCTCATCATTACAGTGTGTTATGGGCTGATGATCTTACGCCTCAAGAGTGTCCGCATGCTCTCTGGCTCCAAAGAAAAGGACAGGAACCTGCGAAGAATCACCAGGATGGTGCTGGTGGTTGTGGCCGTGTTCATTGTCTGCTGGACACCCATTCACATCTACGTCATCATTAAAGCCTTGATCACAATCCCGGAAACTACTTTCCAGACCGTTTCCTGGCACTTCTGCATTGCTCTAGGTTATACCAACAGCTGCCTGAACCCCGTGCTTTATGCATTTCTGGATGAAAATTTCAAACGATGCTTCAGAGAGTTCTGTATCCCAACTTCCTCTACTATTGAGCAGCAAAACTCCACTCGAATTCGTCAGAACACCAGAGACCACCCCTCCACAGCCAACACGGTGGATAGGACTAACCATCAGGTATGCAGCTTTTAGGACTGGGTGTACCTACCAGGGATGACATAAAAATTACAGACCTTTTTAAAGTCCAACATTAGAAGCCATTAGAAGTGGACCAGTAAGTCGGGGTTTGAGGTCAGTACAAGGAGGGAGGGAGGAGAGGAGGAAATGATGATCACTGTGGCCAAGGGACACTTCATTATATAAACCGAGCTCTATGTATTTTGCACATAATCATTTAGATATAGAGACATTCCAATTAGAAATCCATAAATCTGCTAGAAGTCTGTGTCGCCGCAGCCTTTTTGTCTATGCAAGATTAATGACTCCAGCACATTGAAGAAGAGATCCTAATCTAGAATTCTGATTTCCCCTAATGTTAGGTGTTTCATGCATATCATTCCAACATCCCTGTCACTTCTTTTTTTAGCTGAATACAATGGTTTTATTTCTTGTTCACTAGAATACAGAGCCCAGTGGAGGACACACTGCCTTCCTTCGGCTCATGGATATTCCACCAGGAAGAGATGGGCTTTATAACTGATGGGCTCCTCTGGTGGCTCAGATAGTGAAGAGTCTGTCTGCAATGCAGGAGACCCGGGTTTGATCCCTGGGTTGGAAAGATCCCCTGGAGAAGGAAATGGCAACCACTCCAGTATGCTTGCCTGTAAAATCCAGACAGGAGAGTCTGGCGGGCTATAGTCCATGGAGTCACAAAGAATCAGACATGACTGAAGTGACTATCGTGACGACGACGAACATCAGCGTGGGGATGAGTAGAGAGCCTTAACCTTGACGTAGCACATTTGACTTTCAACTACAGTCCTTTGGCCCAAACTGGTCACAAAGCCCTAAGCAAGGGCAAGGGAGGCTGGGAAATTTAGCAGGGGGTGTAGAATTAAGTGACCACTAGCTCTGCCACAGTGCTTCCGTGGCATCTACCTCTAAGTCCCTGTCAAAGGACTCAAGCAAAGTCCCTGTCACTTCTCTAAAGCCAGTCCTGCTCTGGTTCTGTGGTTGCAGAGAAAGCATCAGCATTTTGCCCGCTGTGGTAACGGGGGCCGATGTTCCCAGGGTCACAGAAAAGGAGAAAAGGAAGTCAAATGGCCACCTTTGTTAAGTCATTGACTTGTAAATTTTCATACCTGAACTCAAACCTATTACTTCTTAGAATTAACTTAGCTTTATAACAGCATAAGTTATAAAAATTAGTTATAAACTAATATAAAAAATTAGTTATAAACTAAATTAGTCTTAGACTGTAGCCCACCAAGCTCCTCTGTCCCTGGGACTTCCCAGGCAAGAATATTGGAGTGAGTTTTCCATTTCCTCCTCTAGGGGATCCCTCTGACCCAGGGATCAAACCCGTGTCTCCTGCATTGGTAGGTGGATTCTTGATCCGCCAACCCAGCTGGGAAGCCCAGCCAACATGCCCCTTGAGGTCAATATCATAAGGACTGACTATTTCCTGGAAGATGTATCCCTACACATAAAAGAGTACAGATGGGTACCTGCAGGGAAGAGGCCAGATTTACACGCAGCAGTATAACCACACAAGAAATCAAAAAAGAGAAAAGAGAAAAACATCTGTCTCGAAGCTACTAGTGCCTGTTCAGCCTCTGGTTTCAAAAATTTGGCCTCTAACCTGTTAAGTAAATCAGTCACTTAGTTATTAATGTAAGCAAGTAAATTTCCAAATAATAATGCCGGCATCCCCCAAATCACAGCTTATGTAATTTTATAACACATTCAAACTCCCTATGAAAGCAAATCCTCATGTCAAAAGCTTAGATAAAGTTTCTAGGATCAGGGAGCAGCCGTGGGAACAGATGGCTTCATAAAAAACACCCGGAAGCCAAATCAGGGGCCAGAAGGAGAGCCTGACTCCCTCAAGATGCAGCTGCTTTGTCTCTGCATTTTCTTCTCCCACTACCGCCACCCAACCCAACCCAACCCAGCTCACCCTTCTAATTGACCACAGGACTAATGCAATATGGCCCATAGGGGCATTAATCCTCATACCCTCGATATTAAATCACGCTCAAATGAACCCAGGAACTGGCAAGCCCTAGGGAGCATGAGGTAATGATGGCAGACCCAATTCCAACCAAAGGGAAATGATTAACTTATTATGTCTCATTTCTAATTCCATTTCCGAAAGGAAAGCCAGAAAGAAATGTTTTCCTACTCTGCTCCTTTTTTTTATTTTCCTTCATCATCAAGACCTCTAAGCCTGTTCCTTTTGCTAAGCAGTGCTCCTTCTCAGTGGCTATGGAAATCTTGTGAATAACTTCAAGAGGGTAGGCATTTAAATCAGTTTTTCTCTAAGGTGAGGATAATACATTAACAAATGCAACTTCAAACTCTCAGTCCTAAACTATGGTTCAAATATTTTACATTGGAGAAATATATTTCCATTGGAGCAAGATGATGGACATTACAAAAGATTAGTTCTTTCTTCTTAAGCACCGGCTCATACCTTCCCTCTCCTTTGGCGTGTGGGTGTTGGCCTTATACCCTGGACCACTGCCGGGGCTGCTTGTCACATTTGATCCTCTGAGCATCCTTCACTTGCCTTGCTCTCCTGGCAATACAGCTCCCAGCCTGTCTGATGGAGCGTTTTTCCTGAATTCACCATGAATGTCCTCCAGCTGTCCGGCCACTGTCCTTGAGCCCCCTCCAAATCCTGCGTTTCCACATCAGTGTGGTCCTTGCACAGCCAGAGAGAGGAAAAAGGAAGTTAATTAGGGGAGCTCTGTTCTGAGTAACTAAAAGGTTTGCCTTAAAAATACATCCAATTAGGGCTTATCTTCATTGCTGCCTCTATGAAGCAGCATCAGTGTCAGATAACAGCAGAAACACATTAGCCCTGGAGCTGGCTGCTTTCCCAAAATGCCCAGCTGGGAGAGTTGGACAGAGAAGAGCCGCTGCTGGGGAAAGGGGAAAAGACACACTGGCATATCTGAAAATTAAGATAAATCAAAGATCCCTTTCACTAATCTCCACTGATGTGTCATCATTAGAATCAAGGCAGCTACCCACATACATCTAGAACAATATATGAGCCTTTGATGATCCCTGCAATAATATATCAAAATGGTAAAATTATTTGAGGAAAAAATTGGAGACTTTATGGCTGTGTCTATGTGGGGTTAGTCGTACAGAATCTGCCTGCCAATGAAGGAGACACAGGAGACATGGGTTCAATCGCTTGGCCGGGAAGATCCCCTAAAGGAGGAAATGGCAATCCACTCCAGTATTCTTTCCTGGAAAATCCCATGGACAGAGGAGCCTGTCGGGCTACAGTCCATGAGACCACGAAGAATTGGCCAAAACTGAGCAACTGAGCACATAGAATACATAGGACATAGTTGGTTAGTTTACAAACGCAGTATCTGACAGGCAGGTTTTGTTCTTTCTTTTTTCTTTTAACTCATGAGCCATCATGTCATGAGACAAAGCTAACTGGATTCATATTAACATTTTAACTGCTTGTTTTAAATCTATACCATTGTAGATATTTATGTCCTGACTCTGTCTTTGTATTTTCTCCATGAAATGTGTTATTCTATCTATGTCACATCTCAAGCACATTAGTCAACTTCATATTCTGCAGATCAGAGATCCAATATCAAACCTTCCCAGGGTGTCTGTATTCTGACAACTGTATACTGAGACCATGTCCATACAACGCAAAGTCAAGTGGAGAGGTGGAAGTTATTAAGGTAATTCAATAAACCTTATAAGAAAGTTTTGTGCCCAGAATAAACTTTGAGTCATATAGATAGGTAAGGGCAACTTGGTCAGTTCTGGCTGCATAGCAAATCATTCCAAAATTTATTGGCTGAAAGAAGCCATTTACTTAGTTTATAATTCTATTGATCAGTGATATGGGCTGGGCTAAGATAGACCATTCTCCCCAGTCAGTTGGGCTGTCAGCCAGCTGATCTAGTGGCCATAGTGAGAATGGCTGGCTCCTCATGGATCCGCATTTTCTGTCATTCATGTTAGCCCAGGCATGTTCCCATGGTGATCACAGGTTCTAGATTCAAAGGATGGGAAAACAGACTCCACCTGTTGATGTTCAGAGCTGCAGTCACATTGCAAAGGGATGTGGATGTAGGGACGGAAGTCACTGTGGCCACATTTGATCACCATCTACAGTAGCACATGCTGCCTGGGACAGGCAAGTCACAACTTCCTGAGAGGACAAACCACATCTGCCTCACTCTTCCTTGTACCTCCAGTATCTGAACACATGAAAGATCTTGGAAGGCTCTTGGTATTTCAGGAGATATGGAAAGGGCCAGAATCATCCTTTTCTTGGAACTGATTGACAAGCTAAAGGATCGTGTGACATCTTGACTTATTTCATACTTACCCTTCAATAAGAGAAAAATATTCACAGGAGGGATTCTTCATTTTTTTCTCTCCAGCCTTTAGTCCTCTAATCCGGTTACACCTTTCAAAAATTTTCTTACATTTATGCCTGTCTTCTAATTTTAAATAAATGCTAGTGATGAGGAAATCAAGAACCAGACTCATGTGGGAGAAGGCGAGGGTGGGATGTTTCGAGAGAACAGCATCGAAACACGTATATTATCTAGGGTGAAACAGATCACCAGCCCAGGTTGGATGCCTGAGACAAGTGCTTGGACCTGGTGCACTGGGAAGACCCAGAGGAATCAGATGGAGAGGGAGGTGGGAGTGGGGATCGGGATGGGGAATACATGTATATCCATGGCTGATTCATGTCAATGTATGACAAAAACCACTACAATATCATGAAGTAATTAGCCTCCAACTAATAAAAATAAATAAATAAATAAATATTTTAAAAAATAAAAAAAAATTAAAAGCCAAAAAAAAAAGAGAACCAGACTCAGTGCCCTAAAGAGGTCAAGCCCTGGCTCATTGTGGGGGGGGAAAAAAAGGCTCATATTTTTTTATGCATTCCAAGGTCCAACCTACTACTCCAGCATAATGTGATTTATGTTTAACTTGTTGTCTTTATGTTTACT